AAAGTTACATGACAAATAAACTTGAATAAAATAAACTGGAAAATATTCAAAATTGAATAAAATTGTCAAATGACATTAGAATCGGTTGAAGTTGACACCAATTAGTATTGATACACATACGAATCATCTCCATGTCAAAATTTGACCGACATTTGTCATCACAAAATTGGGGAAAAAACGGAAAGAAAAAACAAAGTTTGGTCCGTCACTTGAACTTGAGACGCCCTGTATCAACTGGTGCCATCCTAAAATAAACTAGACGTTAATATCTACAACTTTTGTATGTAACATTTTTCTCTAAATTTCACATTAGAAGTTAAAACGGGGGTAATAACCCTGTACATTCAATCACATCTTTTATGATATCACCCGCATAACATGTAGCTGAAAATTCAAATAGGATTGAAATAGCTGTTAGTGTAGGTGGACCGAAAGAAATTACAACCTTACCATGTGCAAAATGTTTACAAGGTGTCGCCAAAAAAGGAGTGCAGTAGTATTACGTCGAGCTACTTGAGAGGCGACCTTACATATTTTTTTTTGTTCACTGCAAAACCGGGTGATGCTCACTAAGAGTATTACGTCATCTTTTTGAAATTGTTGTTTCATGATGAGATAATCTGATAATGTGGTTCTATCATTCGGAAATGATAAGGCGATGTTCTTATGTAGAAATAGCACTCGGGAACATGACAATGATACATGACACAATGACATAATGACACAATGACACATGACATAATGACACAATGATACACTGACACATGACATAATGACACAATGATACCCTGTTGTCATAATTGTACTGTGGTGAAATAATAAATTCCAAAATGATACCTAATTTACCAACGAATTGCCTACTTGACTTGGTAACTCGAGCGATTGTGGAAATCAGGCTATTTTAATGAAAAGCTAATTTATTTCTTTACTTCATCATCATCATAGTCGGCAGTTGAGTTCATAAAAAAAGTTACATCATTGTATCGACGTATCGTAAATTTCAAGTTCGTCGGGATGGAATTAACGCATTTTAATATACTTAAGTATTTTATTTATATTTTACAGACTAATAGACTGGGAGAGTAATAGAGTCTGGGAGGGGTGCAAACTTCAATCATTGAGAAGGTGAATTATTTTCGCAAAATCCAAGTTAACGTAACAAGGTTGAAAATACGCAATTTTAGTCGAAGCCGACCTATATTATCAAGTATAATACATCCTCAGCCTGTATGTCTGTGAAATAAATACGAGAACTAAACAAATCCTTATCCAGTGAAGGTCCTTTACTCGTCGAAGAACTTGACACAGATAAGAAATTTTCAATTATCCTTCTTTTAATAGAATGGAAGTTTAATAAGCATATATAGTTTGATAACCTTTAATAGAATGGAAGGACGCATTTTTCCACTTTTGATCTAGCTTTGAAGGTGACTGTGGATGTAGGCAACGATTAAGTAATTAATTCAAGATTGATGGCATGTTAGATATTTGCCGCAAACTCGACCCTTTCTGAAAATTTATAAATCGGACTTGCTCCATCGATCTGAAATGTTTTGAGCATTTTGACTGACCAACCAATTTGATTGACCAATCCAGCAGCAGCCGGATTTTTAAAAAATTGTTGAAAATTGCTCTTGAAGCCCATTTTTTGTCGTTCTGCATGTCAGTGTTGCCAAAATTGTCACTTAATTGCTAGACCCGGTGGGTTTTTTAAACTTTCCGACGTTACAGAAGACACTTCAGTCTGAGAATCCTGGAAATTCCATTTCGATCCACGATCTGCCTGATTTTGGATAAATTGTTGTAAATTGCTCTTGAAACTCGTTTTTTTTTTTGTTTTGTATATCAGTGTTTCATGTTTAAATTCGCTGCTATCGAACACTTTTTGATATAAAATAATTAAAACTTGCCTAACGAGAGAATTTTAATATAATATTGAAATAATGATAAACACCCTAAGGATATTTTTTCTGCGTTGTTTGTTTTCTAGGTCATGTTGATCATTTGTACAGATGAGTTTCAACAGTGTTGGAGAAAGGAACGGGATGATAATTTATTGTACCTACTTTCCTAAAATCAGATGAACAAATATGAAATAAATTTTATATTTGGTCGTAACAGATGGAATTCCTTAATTAAAATCTTGATAATTTTCAATATATGCAATTAACTGATGTGTTGCGAGCTTGAAATGTTTATAAGACCTGTTTAAAATAGTTAAAATAAATTATTAAACCTACTCATAGATAGATGGGCAACTGAAAGGCGTGTCGAATTATCGTTTACACTTCTGTTATATTTAGTTCCAACTCGCATTTCCCTTTAGCTTGATTCGAATCAAGTTGACTCATTTCGAGACAACAATGACGTGTCTAGTATGACTCTCCCCAAGCAGAATTGAATGAATTTCTCTCCTTGATAAAATAATAATGAACTAGACGTGATGGTTTTCTATATGAGTCATCATTTATTTACTCTCGTATTGTCATTTCCATTACGAATCTCATTTTATTGATTATCAAATACATAGAATTTGAAACTGAGTACGTACACAAAAATCGCAGGAATTGTGAACATCATTACGTATCTGGGTTTTTGAAAGTTGTGTATTTTTCAAACGGAGAGTGCATTTGTCTGAGAAAACTTCACAAGTCGGCAAAAATCAGCAATTGAACTGATTTAAGTGAAATGTTCAGTTTTGAGATGGAATGGTCTATTGGTTCGAACAGTGGACTGTTGAATGATTCCGAGATATGAGCAAAAACGGGCCGGAAAACATGGAATTTTGGCATAATCTTGC